AATGCTACCTACGGAGAAAAGCAAAAAGAAAGTGACCTTCAGGGACCAGTCTCTGGTGGTAAAAGAGACCACCACACAATCTAGGTATTAAATTTGATAACTAGAAGATCAGCTTAGTGGGTTGAATAGTGGGCCACCTAAAAACATACCTACTTGGAACATCAAAATGTGACTATATTTGGAATAAGGGTCTTTGAAGTGTCTTTGAAGATGTAATTAAGGATTTTGAGATGAGAAGATTCTGGATTTAGGGTGGGCCCTATAACGTGTGGGCCCTATATGATGTCCTTGTAAGAGAAATGAGATGGAGATGTGAAACACAGAGAAACATGATGGAAAAGTTATGTGAAGACAGAGGCAGAGATTAGAGGTTTTCAGCAACAAGCTAGGGAACACCGAGGGTTGCCAGCCTCTTTAGGAGAGAGGCACACAGCAGATTCTCCCTCAGAATCTCCAGAAAGAAGCAACCTTTCCATCCTGTGATTTTGGATTTTTAATCTTCTGCAAGAGAATAAACTTCTGCTACTTTAAGCCACCAGATTTGTTATAATTTGTTAGGGAAGCTCTAGGAAACTAGTTGACTTTCACAAAGCTATTTAAACCTACTCTGAATAGAGAGGAGGTAGAAGCCTCTGATGTAGTGTCTGCTTTGCTAATTTCATGCAAAGAGGTAAACAAGAGATAATACTTCTGAGAGCCTCTCTGTACAGTACAGAGGTGATGACTTTTCAATTTCAAAGTGTGGTCAATCCCAACTGATGAATCTTCACAGGACACTTGTGCCAAATACGGAAGTGTCATTAATCCCACTTCAGATAATATAGCAAATAAGTCCTTGCCTGATGTCATCAACAGAATTATTGATGGATGGTTTCAAAATAGTCTTTTCTTAAAGTAAACATGACAGGAAGGTAAATTACTGATCATCAGGAGTAGGACAAAAGGAATGGCAAAGAGGAGGATTTACTACACAACTATTTTATGAAGTCTTATTTCCAAAAATAATATAAAATATAAAAACAATATGAAATTCATATTATAATTTTCTTTGAGGTCTTCAAATTCTATAACTCTTCTCTTAGTCCATCAGCCTGAAACCACCTATGTAAAATTACCTTCATGTACTGACCCCTGGTGGGTGGCAAGACTGGTCAACAATATTCTCTCCCAAACAATGGACCTAAGATTGCATAAGGACAAAATCGTTGGTTAAAGGACAAATGTGGCTTCAGTCATCAGAGACTCTGCATCTCCCCACAGCTTACTCCTTAATTAGCTCAAGAATAGCTCACAGCTTAAGGTGGGACTTGCTTTACGAGTTCTGACAGTTAAGTTCACAAATTCATCCTAGAAAGAGTGCTACATACCTCATTGCTGAATATCACTAAGGTCACCTTTGAAGTACTTCCCTTGGGAAGCTATGCACTGATGGCAGTGCCTGGTTCACCCATCAAAGCAATTTTAGAACTCTTTTTCTAGAATGGTCATTACAACTGTCATCATATTACCCTTGATGTGCTGAATGTCATCAAAATGTCTTTCTGTATTTCCTTTATCTTAGGGTAAAGAAAAAAGTCATTGGGACCAGATCAGGTGAGGAGGGTATTCCAATACAGTTATTTGTTTACTGGATAAAAACCCCCTCACAGACAGGGTTGTGTGAGCTGGTGCCTTGTCATGATGCAAGAGCTCCTTCAGGACCATTTTGCACAAACCTTATTCATGCCAAGATTTTCAGTTAAGATTTTCCTGTTTTTCTATTGATGTTTATTTGGTCTGTTATGCTTCTCACAGTCAGCCAATGATTTTGATGCACAATTCAATGAATTTTTGCAATATTTTCATCAGTTCTGCTTGTTACTGGCTTTCCTGATCTCTCTTCATCAGTGACACTTTCTCTCCCCCTCAGAAAAACATTTAATCCATTTGTACATGGCCATTTTCTTCATGGCATTATCCCCGTAAACATGAACTAACATGTCCCTGATTTCAATTCCACTCTTGCCAAGTTTAACCAGAAATTTATTGTTTGTTTATTGCTCTAATTCAAGCTCTGACATTCTCACATCACACAAAAGCAATAATGAATACCACTCAGCAAGACACTGCTACATGTCAACACAAACACAGCTATGAGACACTGATATATCAAGGTTATGAAACCTTACCGAGTTGTTTGTACAGTGCTACCAACGTAATTGCACGGTGGCAAGTTCATGAACTTAATAGTCAGCCTTCGTATATAGCATCTACCGTAAAACCTAAGACAGGTATTTGAGATCTTTTTCAGACTTTAAACCCTGATGAACCTGTAGCTGATGGATCCAGCCCCAGAACAGCAGGAAGTCAGTCTGTGATGCCTTTCCCAGAAATTGACTCTGCCACAGGAAGAAAATCTAGACATCCTCCACATACTATCAACCAATCAACAGCTCCTACCTGCCCAGTCTCCTCTAAAAACCCCTGTCCTCTGAATTTTCAGACAGGATGTAAAGCAATTTCTCCCACTTTCCCCACTCAGTTGCTTTGTGGTATTAAACTTGTTTCCTATTGTAATGGCTGTGGCAATTTTGGTTTTTCTGAGCAGTGGGTATAGGAACCCAGTCCAGTAATAACAAGTCAATTTCTTGTTGTCTTGTAAAACAAAAGATTCCCTTAGAAATTATACTGAACAAGGTGACTTGCCTAGTTGGTATCCCACACAATGTTAGAATAGGTATATCTCAGCCATGATTTATGGGAAAGACTAAGAAGGTTTAAGTGTACAGTGGTGCCAAAACAGTGAACAAAACTAGAATTTCTAGAATAAGGAGAGTGAAAACTGTGCTATGCTCTGCCATAGTCAAATCATGTCTGGAAAGACTATATTGTTTACAGCACAAAAATTTAGAACATCTTTACATTAAAAGAAAAAAAAAGGGCCTGGCAAGGTGGGGAGGAGGTCAAGGTTTCCAAAAGCAGCAACTCTGGCATAAAAGGAGATGGGGAAATGGGTTTAATCTGAAGAAGAGAAGACTCAGCATCACCAAATATCTGAAAGGGTGTTATTGATGGAGGATTAGACTTACCCAATAGATCAAAATTACATTGTAGCTTCATATTATTAGAAAAAACTTCTGGAAAGCTAGAGCTGTCCAAAGATAGGACCAGCATCTTTAGCAAATAGCAAGCAGTGATTCCTCTACCCCTGAGAGTATAAAAGCATAGAGAGGCGAATCACTTTGTGGGGGTGCTGTAGACATTGAGGAGAAAGGAGATGGAAACTGGAAACCGATTTCTTCTAAATCTCATATCAGTTAAATTTATGGTTCTTCTCAGTTATAATTTAAATATCTTCTAGGTCTCTAGAATATGGAGTTCTGATCCTAAATCTATAAAATGTGAATGACTTCTTTGGAACTAAGCTCAGTCATTATTTTGCCACACACTGAGTTGGAAGCTCATAGGATGAGATAAGCTAGGCAGTTGTCTAAGTGTAGTGGAGGTTTATGTGAAGGGAATGTTGAACCAAGAGGGCCACAGAAAGTAACTGTCTTAGGATATAAGTAATGTGATATACATAGATTATCTATCCTGCTAACTTAAGTATGTTATTATTTAAATTTGAATGATGTTTAACAATATGCCAAAAGGATAGAGTGTGAATAATTGGGAGAGGTTATCCTTAGTAATCAAGAATAAGGTAGCTAAGTTGAGTGACAAAGCCAGGTGTATTAGTCAGGCTTCTCCAGAGAAACAGCCAAATGGATGTGTATATGGGGAGGAGAGGAGAGTGGGAGAAATTGATTTTAAGGAATTGGCTCACACAGTTTTGGAGGCTGAAGAATCCAATATGTGCAGTATGGGCTGGCAGGCTGGAGACTCATGGAAGAGCTGATGGTGCAGTCCAAGTTTGAAGACCATCTGCTGACAGAATTCCTTCTTGCTTTGGGGAAGTCCATTTCTGCTCTATCAAAACTTTCAACTGATTGGACTAGGTTCATCTACATTAGGGAGGGCAATCTGTTTTGGTCAAAATCTACCTATTTAAATATCTGGAAAGCACTCTCGCAAGAACATAGAGAATGTGTGACCACATGTCAGGGCCCCATGACTCAGCCAAGATGACATACAATATAAACTGCCACATCAGGAAATTGTTTCTTAAACTTGATAAATCCTTTCACATTTGTGGATACCACCTCTGAGGGATAAAGAATGATGGTGAGCAGAACTTGCTAATGAAGGTCACTGAACATCTTTCCACATTGCCTCTCTGATTTCTGAAAGGCCATTTCTAAAACCAGGTGCTTTAAAACACTAAACTAAGTAGAAGAAGTCTGTAAAGGAATGATACTGGATGAGTGTGGTTACTGGGATGCTATCCACTCAGCCATCCATTACATATCCTTATACACACAGCTACATTATCGCCCACAGGTCACATTTTCATCAAATGAAGACATGATAATACTGTTCTTCTAAGGCACCTCAGAATCTAAAGAAAGGCACTCAGAAGAAAATAATCTGGAAACTCATGCTTTTGCAATCACTATTAGCTTCAAAACACCACTTTGCTCTAGAGTAGAAAAGCTAACTGGACAAATGGAATTATTCTTTTCATTTTCAAATCAGCACCAGGAAAAGGGAATCAGGAAAGACGAAGAAAATGCTTTGAAATGTTTAATTCTTCATGTTTATTAAGAGTTCTGCAAATTCAGTAAAAAAGGGGTGAGGTCCAGAAAAAAAATGGTATAACAGGAGTGATATCATCACTATAGCAAGCTATGCAAATAGAGACAAGTTTTTTTCACACAATAAAGATTTAATTATGTCAACAAAGTCTTTGTGATTTTGAAGCCAAGTACTGTCTTGTGCACTTGTATATACATTATTTCATTTGAAAAAGAAAGTTACCATAGGAATTTCACCATGATTGTTCCATCATGTGTTTAATCTTTATTTGGAATTTGGTGTGTTTTCAGAAGGTTAATTTTTTTAACAGTTTGTAGTTTTGACATCTATTCATCAGACACATCAGGGAGGCAAATATTAAACAGTAATTGTAAATAACAAGTCATCTTCTCAAACCAAACCAACCTAACTTTAAAATGTATTAAGGGTATGTAAAATAGCAGTTCACTGAAGACAAAGAGAAGCACATAGAGATAATGCATGTTTGGAGACTTTACCAATGGTATCACAACCATGCAGAGGTTGATGGCCATATTTAACAATGGAAATGGCAGAAATACCTGAAAGAGCAAAATTTTTAAAAATTAGATATGAAAATCCATATATAATACTTGCATACTTATATAAATAAAAATTAAAATACACAAGGGAATGTTAGAGAACAGGCTAAATTAGCTGTGAAATGAGATAAACCTGGCTTAGAACTCAGATAAGTGTCTAAGGAGAAGGGGATGTTGAAGACCCTCATCGTCAGGTTAGAGGGAATGGACATGTAGCATTTGGCTGTTTGTGAATAGAAATATAACTATGACTGTTTGCAGATAAGTTAACCATCTGCTGATCTAGGTGGCAGAAATTTGCTAAGAGAAAGCTTCTAAGGCCCAATGGAAGTAACAACAATCTTCCCTGAAAAATATCTCAAGGCAGTCAGAAATGTATGACAAAAACTATGCTCAGACCGTCTGTTACTCAGGTAAATATTGACAGCTAAGTAGCTTGACTTTATGGGATCAGCAAATTAAAAAACAAACCAAGACAAAAACTTTATCCCAAACTATTCTTCCTACTTCATGTTTTGCTTTTCTTTCTGTTTGCCAAAAAAAAAAAAACCTTACATGCCCATACTTGGTACCTGCATTGTGTTAAGATTGTAAGGATTCTACACAACATTACGAGTGAGTGGTGACTCTTGAGATGAATTTAAGAGAGCGATATGAATCTATACCCCAAATACATAACACAGCTAGTTACAGTTTATGAATCCCTTTAATGAGAGGGTCATTTACTCGAGGTTTAAATCATCAAGATTCTCTTCTTAATTAGTCAAATACTTCTGAAAAAGATAACATCATCTCACTACTCAGTATCGGTTATCAAATAATTGATAAAGGAAAAAAGGGCCCTCTGACACATGCTAGACAAATTTCAGCCATATCTGCTTAAGGCTGCCCTTGCCTTCCATTTTGATGCAAATGTATGCTGAAAAAAATAGAAATATTAATTGTCATCAACCTATGACCCTGGAATGTTTGCATGCCTTAGTTTATATAATGCATCCAACATTAATAAGAGGTAGGTATCATTCATTCCCATTTTCAATATGAAGAAACTGGGGATTAGAGGTTAAATAACAAGGCTAAATTCAGCTTCTAGTCAAGGACTTGAACTTGAGCCCAAGCTCTTAATGATTATCTCATACTGTTTCTTAGTGTATAACAAATTGAACATCAGTTCATGACTGCTTTATAATTGCATTGAAGCAGGGTCAGTGATCTGACAAAAGTGTGGGTCAGAAAAGAGTAAAGGATGCATTAAGAAGACACAGAATGTGAAACCACGCAAAAAACAAATGTTGGGGAAGCACCACTAAGGGTGACCATGGCTGCCAACCCTGCTCTAGATTAGATCCCAGCCCCCCTATGCTCTCTGAGCTTCCTCTGGGGACCAGTATGTAGCAATCATCACACCATGGTTTTTGATTCACCTGACTATCCACATAGACTATAACCTGTCTAAAGGCAGAAGCCAGATCCTAAAACTTTCTGTACCCAGAATACCTAACAAGGTGTTTAAAATACAGTTGCTTCATAATAACTAGTACCCAAATACATGACAGTTGAGGAATGACTGGATGGAAGAAGAAGGGAAAACTGAAAAGGAAGGATGACTGTAAATCAACCAAAGTTGGTAATTAGAGCATTGTTTTCTTTCTCCCAGCATTCTTTCTAATATTTTCTGCTTAGTGTACATCAAATACTCCAAAGAGAATGTCTGGGTTGGGAACTTGGCTCTACTCCATGCTGCATGAGCTTTAGCAAGTGACTTAACTTTTCTAAACCTATTTCCTCATCTGTAAAATGGAAATAACAGTAGAATTCACCTTTTGTATTACAGAGAGAATTAAAGTTGGCTCTCGAGGAAAAGCTTTGAACTTGTTTCCTAGTCCACCAAGACTGTTTTATCATTGTGATAATCAGAATGTCGGGGCCACCATTCTCCAAAAATATCCTTATGCTACCAAGTTTTTGCATTTTTCCTTTTCTGCAATTAAAGAGCTGTGTAATCTTTTGTGAAACGTTTTCTCATCCGGACTGAAAATAATTTTAACAGTAAGTAAAACTGGAGTTAGAATATGTCAACAAAGTAAGTTGATATTTCAGGACAGTCGATGTTATAATGTGTGACCTTAACTTGCCAATTCTGTGTGCCATTTGTTTAAATCTGACCTTGACTGAGGAACACATTGGTATGTGTAATTAATTATCTAAGTAGACAGAGTAATTTCTGGTCAAAAGACTTGTAATGATCCATCCAAACACACAGTAAACTTTTTTTCTCTCTAATAAACCATTAAATGGAACCTAAGAAATGTTTTATGGAATAAAGACTATCCAATAAAAATGATAATTAAGCCAAGACCAGATTATCCTTATGCTTATTAATTGTTGAATATTACAAAGGTCTACTTATAGATGTTTTGAATATAATCTTAAATGCAATTACACTCAATAGGTTTTATTTCACACAGAAAAAAAAAAAGAAAACCCAATTTTACCTTATAAGGTGTAGGTAGGTTGGGTTCCTGATATCTCCGTTTTAATAGTCCTATCATTGATAATATATACCAAAAAGAAACCACAAAATAAAGATAGTTTATCAAGGTAATTAGGTTTGTTAAGACAATTGCAAGAGATCCCAAAGTGACAAGTAGTAGCACAGGTATAAATGGAGATGAGTGACTATTAAGTGTACAAAACAGCAAAGGCAAGTGTCCTTGTTGGCCCGCAGTATACATGATTCTTGATGATTCTAATATATTAACCAGGAGGTTGCTAAATAATGAGGCAGAAATAGCAAAAGGCATAGCCCATGTTAACGAAGGAATAAATCGATCAGCCCATGTGACAGCTACAGCATCTGCAAAACAACAAAAATACACAAAAGAAAATGTGTTAAACGAGAGGTACTAATGATAAGCCTTTTAACAGCATTTTAAAATGAAAGCAGAAATTTTAAAAAGTAATTAATAATTTTGTTATTTATTTCCTTATTTACTCATAGGCAACACCTTATACATGTGTCTATTGTAGTCTTATCACAGTGTATCCTAAATGATTATCATTCTATATGTTTTTCCAATAGACAGGAAATTTTTGAGGGCAAGTACTATTCGTTTCTTTTCTATCAAACTAATACTTCATTCAGTGACAAACATTGTGAGTTTTTAATAAATACTTATGAAATGAATTGATTTTCTTGAAGGGATGATTAAATGCATGCTTATTTTTTTAAACTAGCTTACAGAGTATAGATAGTTGCATTCAGTGTCAAAAAAGTATAGTGCAGGTCAGGAGCAGTGGCTCACACCTGGAATCCCAGCACTTTGGGAGGCAGAGGCAGGAGGATCACTAGAAGCCAGGAGTTTGAGACCAGATTGGGCAAAATCGTGAGAATTTTGTCTCTACAAAAAAAAATTATTTTTTAATTAGTCAACTGCAGTTACATATGCCAGTAGTCCCTGCTATTCAGGATGCTGAGATGATAGTATGGCTTGAGACCAGAAGTTCAAGGCTACAGTGATCCATGATCATAGCACTGCACTCTAACCTAGGTGATAAAGTGAGACCCCAACTCTAAGAAGAAAAAAAAAGCACAGTGTAACACTACTGATACAAGAATAAGCCTTATCCACTTCATGGTGCAATGTGAAATACTTAACAGAAAAATGAATCTTGTAACAGAGAAAATAAAGTACACACCAATAAAAAATATTTATGATATTTGTGCTGTTTATAGACTAGTAGCTCTCAGTTGGAAGAAGTTTGCTCTCAGGATCATTTGGCAATGTCTAGAGACTTTTTTGGTGGTCACAACTGGGAAAGTAAGAGATTACTAACAGCGTCTAGTGGGTAGAGGCCAAGGATGTCACTAAACATCTTACAATGCACAGAACAGTACTCTACAACAAAGAATTATATGGTATAAAATGTTAATAGAACCAAGATTGATAGCCTTGCTACAGACCAACCTTTAGAGAATATTCTGCTTTTTTTTGGCTTCAAGTTGAAAAGACCCTATGAACACTAATTTAGTAAAAGTCAATAGGGAAAAAGGGCACAAATGAAGAAAAGCATCCATTGTTCATGAGAAGCCACTTGAGTTCAACTCATGTTATGTAGCTCCATGCTAAGACAGATCATTCAGTCACAGAGAAGTAACATCTCTATTCTTCAATGGAATGAGCACAGCAGGGCCTTGTGTCCCTTGAAGTAGGTATCCTTGGAGTCTGTGCTCCTGTGTTAAGGCTGGCTTCTGGTGGAGCCTCCAGGACACCAACATAGTGGCTTATAACAAATAGTTAGACTTTTCTAATGTGACAATTTTAAAATATTATTAATAGTGCTTATTCTTAAAGATCTTTATGCTTTTAACCCATTTTAAATAGCTTCGTGTTCCTTCACTTTTCTCCATAGTGCTATCCCTACAATATTGGGACTTCCTTAAAAGTATCTTCCGTCTTTCTCATTGTTCCTTTTAAATTAGGTATTGTTGGCTGTTCCTCCTGGATACCCACACCTCCACACATTTCCATTTTCAGACACCTCTCAGAAATATTTCTTTCTGATAACACAAAGGAAACTCCCCTTCAGTTTCCTGGGTGTACATTCCACAAACCTGGTTGAATCAGGTGCAGCTCTGCCAGTGCTGGCTGGCAAAAAATTACACACCTTTCTACATAATTTTTAGCTTCTCACAAGTTATTTCTTTCTTTTTTACTTCTTTCTACATATAGTTTTTTTTTTCTTAAAGATTATTTCACACCAGGCATAGTGACTCATGCCTGTAAGTCTAGCAACTTGGGAGGCTGAAGTAGGAGGATTGCTTGGGCCCAGGAGTTCAAGACCAGCGAAGGCAACATAGCTAGACCCCATCTCTACAGAAAAATTCAAAAATTAGTTGGGCATGGTAGCACACGCCTGTAGTCCCAGTTACTTGGGAGGCTGAGGCAGATAAATCACCTGAGACCAGGAGTTTGAGGCTGTGGTGAGCTCTGATCATGCCACTGCACTCCAGCCTGGGCAACAGAGTGAGACCCTGACTAAAATATATATATATATATATATTTTTTTTTTTTTCACATATGCTTTAGGCAAAAAGGAAAATAAAGCAAATAAAGTAAAAAGTACATGTCCCTTTTCTCATGAATTCCTCATTCATGCAGTCCAAACTTAACTACCTAACATCTGTGCGGATCCCCTTTCAGAAATTTTCTTCCTTTTTCTTTTTTTATGAATTGGAGTCTCACTTTGACACCCAGGCTGGAGTGCAGTGGCATGCTCACAGCCACTGCTGGGCTCAAGTGATCCTTCCGCCTCAACTTTCCAAGTAGCTGGAACTACAGGCACGCACCACCATGCCCAGCTAATTTTTTGATTTATTGCAGAGATGAGGTCTCACCAAGTTGCCCAGACTTATCTCATAGGCTCAGGCAATCTTCTCACCTTGACCTCCCAAAGTACTGTGTTTATAGGCATGAGCCACTGCACCTGGTCAGAAATTTTCCATGAATATATAAGCATCTGTGAGGGTTGTATGGGTATGCATGTATATGTGCATGTGTGTGCTTGTGTGCTATGTGTGTGTGTGTGTGCACATGGTTATACCCACTTAGACTTACTTTTTTCACTTTCCAACATATCTTGATCATATTAGGACATATGCATCACCTAATTATTTTAGTGAATTCTTAGTATTTCATTACATAACTCTAAATTAGTTAATCTACTCATTTCATACTGGGCAATTTGTAGGTTGTTTTCAGTTTTTTGCTAATATAAAAAGTGTTTTAAAACACTCATACCTTCAATTCATGATAATTGTGCAATTTTTGTAGGTTGTTTTCAGTTTTTTGCTAATATAAAAAGTGTTTTAAAACACTCATGCCTTCAATTCATGATAATTGTGCAATTTTCCTCAGAGTAAATTCTTAGAAGTGGAACTTGTGAATCCAAACTTACATACATTCTTCAAAATAAGGGTGACATTAAAAAATAACTCTCCCAAAATAATTGTATTGATTTAGTAAGTGATTCTAAAATTCCCTTCATTTCAGAATTCTTACACACACCCAGGTCCTTGGGACTAGCTACTTTCAGGCTGCTTCTGTACAGGAAACCTTCTAAGCATCCCTTTCCATACACTTTATTTACTGGTTGAGATTATCTTGTCTATGCCAATATTCTCTAGTTTAAAATATGGTGTGGAACCCTCAAGATCATCAAATGTGCGCACCCCTGTCAGCAGTGTGCAGCAGGGATTCAGGGACAGTGACATTCTCGGTTTTAAAGCTGTGATCAGGGTTCCTCACTGAGACATTTCCACACACCTTGTTCTAGAAGAACACCCTTCCCTCCTCAGTGGTAGAATTTATTTGCAACAAAGAATATTTTTTCTTTCTTAGAGAAAAATAGGTGAAGGAACAACTCAGAGCTCTGACACTGACATGGACAAAAACACTGCATGATTAATAATACCACTGGGGCCAGGCAGGGTGACTCATGCCTATAATTCCAACACTTTGGGAGACAGAGGCAGGAGGATTGCTTAAGTCCAGGAGTTCGAGTCCAGCCTGGTCAACATAATAAGACCTTATCTCTACAAAAATTCAAAAAATTAGCTGGGTGTGGTGGTGCATGTAGTCCATGCTGTAGTCCAAGCTGTTTGGGCGATTGAGGTAGGAGGATCGCCTGGGCCCAGGATAGTGGAGACCGCAGTGGACAATGATCATGCCACTGCACTTTAGCCTGCATGACAGAGTGAGACCCCAGACTCAAAAAATAAAAATTTTAAAAATAATGTCGTTGTTTCTTTTTCTATGTCAACCAAAAATATTAGAATATAATATTTATCGTAGCCTGGTTAGTTTTTTTCAATGTTCCTCAAATAAAATGCAACATTCAATTCATACCACATCATACATGTTCTATATTCTTTTGGAATCTTTTCAAATCTTTTAGATATACCTGTGTAAATAAAAAAATACACCCCTTCCTCCTTAAAATTCCTGAATTTAAGGACCTATTTCTTTTGCTTATAACTTGACCATTCATTATATAACCTATGCACGTCATTAAAGAAAATACGGAAAATTTCATGTACAAATGGAGTAGAAATAATCTACAATGTCATCCCAGCTGATTGCCATTTTGTACTATTTACTTACTGTTGTATATCATAATATACATCTTGCCTTTTCCCTCATTATTGCATTATAAACATTGTGCATTTATTTCAGGTATTCATCAACAATATCATCTTTCAGAAATCTCAGCATGGTTCATTGCATAGATTTTATACCTTTTTAAAATTTATTTCAAGTTTATTGGATAATTTGGTGATCTTTAATTTTTGGTATCATATATAATACTATGGTGGCTGTCCAGATACATACATGTTTTGTGTGTAGCTCCAATTATTTTCTTAAATTCCTAGTACAATGAGGGTGCAGATATTTGGATTCAAAAATATTAGTTCAGAACTTTAAAAGTTTATGGATTATATGCCTAAAAGAGTAAGCAGTGTAACCAAAATACAAGTGATTATGGTCAAAACACTTCATGAGTCTTCCACACATGCTAAAACTATTGTGACACCCACAGAATTGCTGAACTGTTATGATACACCAGAGGAGATACTCATAATTGTTTAACAACCTGTATGGGCAGAGCACTGGCAGTCATGAGAGATGCCAGCTTCAACGAAGTATAACACCTATGCTAGCTGACCAACAGCCCCCACCACAACCATGATTAACTTTGCAAATTTATTCCTTACATAAGCAAGGTAGTTAATAAATCACTGCTTGTTCCGATCCAATTTGCATTTGATTTGTTCCCACAAATGCTCAGAATCTTGACTACATTTGGTTTACAGGTTCCTAAAATACCTAGTCTGCAGGGATTAACATGAACACCATAAGAATTGAGGCAAAGTTGATCAAAATTGTATATCAAAGCCTCCTCTAGATTTACTTCCAGTGCCTAAAAGATTCACCAAAACAACAGTATCTGCTCAAAAGAGATTAGTCCTAAAGGTACTGGGTGACCGGTTTATCTGAGAGGGTGGTTTAATGCTGGTTTGAGGAAATTTACTAGTCTTTCACTTTGTCTGTTTCTCATTTCTTTACAAATTTCCTTTTATTCCTTACTCATTTTTAAATGTAAGTTTCTTTAAAAATTTCTTATTCTTATATTCTTTATTCTAGAATTTGGCCTCTACTATAGTTATCTTTTAGTCAAATTTCCAATGTGTTCAGGTCCCTTTGCCACAACAATTTTGGGGATTATTTATGGTAAACAACCACATGATTTGACATTTAAATATTAATTACACGTATCAACTGAATATTGTCATCTACTCTTCCTACTGCTAATAGCCTACATTTCACATTGATCCTTTTTTGTGTCACCTAGAGGAACACTGAGAATCAAACATTTTGGACATATAAGCACTGATTATGTAGTATCGGTCTGGTGAGATGAGATCATGAAGGAATACTAATATGTGAAGCTGGCCTGCAGCATACGTCTACATTATATATACTTTTCCCTATTATTACAAAAGGCACAACGATGCTTAAATATTAATCTTCTCTCTAAGTCAAATCATCCTCTTTGACCCTCTGTTATTTTAGAAAACTACAAGTTGACTTTATATGGAATAATGAATAGTAAACAGCAGTCCCTACTGATAAAGTGATACTTAAGGTATGCTAAAAAGATCAACGCTTTATTTATTGCTGTAAACATTTGCATACAAACTTGAATAGAGAATTTCCCTGGGTGTCAGAACAGTCAGGTAGGAAATGTTAACTAGTAAATAAACAACAGTCACCAGAGGTAATGCAGTAAATATGATTTTGGGAATTGTCTTTCTGGGTTCCTTCAGCTCCCCTAGAACACACAAAAAAAGTAAAATCATAATAGGCAAAAAACGTTTCTTAAATTCATCTTTTTTAAGTGATTCTTTAATTTGTATAAATTTATGAGGTACAAGCACAATTTTATGACATGCATAGATTGTGGTCAAGTCAGGAATTTTAGGATATCCATCACCTGAGTAATTTTTTTTTTTTTTTTTTTTTTGAGTTGGAGTCTCACTCAGTCGCCCAGACTGGAGTGCAGTGGCCGCTCCCGGCCACCGCAGCCTCGCCTGCTGGGCTCCGGCGATCCTTCCACCTCAGCCTTCCGAGTAGCCGGAATTACAGGCAGCGCTACCACGCGCGACTGATTTTTTTTTTTTTTTTTAATTGTAGAGATGAGGTCTCGCTGCCCAGGCGGGTCTCGAACCCACGGGCTCAGGCAATCCACTCACCTCAGCCTCCCAAAGGCGCGGGATTACAGGCTGAGCCGCCGAGCCCGGCTAGTAAGTAATTTTTAATCATCTGCCCTCCTCCATCTCCTCACTCTTCCAAGTCTCCATTGTCTATCATTCAGCTCTCTACATCCATGTGGACACATATTTTTACTCCCACTTATGCGTGAGAACATGCAATATTTGTTTTTCTGTGTCTGACTCGTTTCATGTAAGATAATGCCCTTCAGTTCAATCCATGTTGCTGCAAAACATATGATTTTATTCTTTTATATGACTGTGTAGGATTCCATGCTATATACACACCACATTTTACCTATCCATCATCTACTGGTAGACAGGTTGATTCCATACCTTTGCTGTTATAAATAGTTGTGTGACAAACATATAAGTGAAGGTATCTTTTTGATATATTGATTTCATTTTCCTTGAGTAGACTTTCCACAGTCACTCCTTTAACTTTTATTTATGGGATTGTTGTGGTAGCTCTATTTTTAGTTAATTCAGAAGCCTTTATACTGTTTTCCATAGCGGTTGTACTAACTTACATTCCACCAACATCGCTCCGTGTATCAAATATTGCCCTGGGTTCTTCTTCCTCTCTACTGTGCCACCACCATCACATGTACACAGACATGAAAAAAACACCCACATTGGCTGACTGGTAGGCACTCACTCCCCTACTTTGGTGCCAAATGAAGAAAAGGACAGATATTCTCCATAGATGGTAAATTCTAAAGAAAGACATAAGAATGAAAAATGAAATCAAAACCCATGGGCCCTGAATCACTGAAGTCACTTATATCTTCAGCCTCATCTAGTAGGTACCAGGCACTGAGTTTGGGTAGTGAGAATACAACGGGGAGCAAAAACAGCATGGAGTTTAACCTCAAGAGGAGAAACTGCACATTAGTTAAACAATCCCATAAATAAAAGTTCAAGGAGTGACTATGGAAAGTGTCCATATGGAAGGAAGCAAAGTATTGTGGGGATCTAGTATGTAACAATTTGATCATCCCTTTGCTATCTGTGTTTTATATATAAGCAGACTGTATTTTCTCCATTCCTCAAAAATGTCATCCCCCTTCTTGCCATAGGATCCATTCTCATGTGTGGAACGTTCTTTCCTTCCTAGTTGCCCAGATAACCCGACTCTTCCTTCATATCGCAGAAAAATTATTACTTTTTCTGGAAAACAGGAGAGGAAACTCTCTCTGACCAACAAAATTGTACTATGATACATTCTCATAGCATGTATTAAAACAATCGGTCATAAATTCTCTCTCCCTATAGATTCTTCATCACTCTTTGAAGACAATCTTTTTATTTTTTATTTTAATGATGTGGGGTACAGTTCAGGGTTAGGTATATAAGTGGTGATTATAAGGTAAAATTTGGGCCTCCTTTGGTCCCTACTTTGCCTGGTTTGAGATTGGGTAACTTTATTGCTGTATGTGCCCCCCATCCCTCCTCTGACAGTGTCCTACTACTGCCAATCCCTTTCTTATAGTACTATGATAAATGTTCAGGGTTCACTTTTCAGTGAGTACATGTGGTATTCAAATCTTTGTTTCTGTGATAGATCACTGAGTATTATAGACGCTAAATCTGTTCAAGTTGCTGCAAAGTCCATAATTTTGTTTTTCTTTATGACTGCATAATATTCCATCATGTAGATGTATCACATTTTTTAAAAATCCAGACCACTTTCAATGGGCAGCACGGTTGGTTCCATGTTTTTGCTATTATAAATCGTGCTGCAATAAACATGCATATGCAGGTATCTTTTTTACAGAGTGATTTGAGCTCCTCTGGGTATATTCCCAGAAGGTAAATTTTTAGATCTTTTAGAAATTGCCACACTGTTTTCCACAGAGGATGTACTAGTTTACACTCCCACCAATAGTGTAGTAGCATTCCCTTTTCTCTACATCCTTTCCAGCATCTATTGCTTTTTGAGTTATTGATAATGACCATCCTGACTGGAGCTAGGTGGTATCTCAGTGTAGTTTTATTTGCCAACTGTATATCTGACAAAGGCCTAGCATCCAGGATTGACAAGGAACTCAAATGTGCCGCAAGGAAAAAAACAAACAACCCTATTAAAAAGTGGGCAAAAGATATGAACAGACACTTGTCAGAAGAAAACATACAAGCAGCCAACAGATATATGACACAACAGCCTCACTTTATGCCAATCTTAAAGCAAAAAAGTGAAAAGATCACATATAGTTATCATCACATATAATGGATTTTCTACAACAACCTTCTTTTCAAAGATTGTCCCATTTTTCACTCAATTTTCCCCATTTTTGCCATTCTCTGAGGATTGCTTCCTGGCACAAAGAAATGAATATATATGACCATGTGTACACTATTTGACCCTGTGCTCTGTCCACTGGCAATAGAACCAAGTACAGGCATCTGATCCACTGAAAGTCAATCATTGCCAGCATACATGAAAATTTCTCTCAAGAATTTGAACCAAATATCAAGAAAAAGGCAATGTAGTGGTGATAAAAGAGAAAGGAGCATCACAAATCTTATTTTTTAATTTCTAGAGCTTCCTTTCCTATTGCTCCTTGAGTTGGTTGTTCAGATCTTCCTTGAAATACAGCATAATTCCTCCAGTAAGTTTTTCTTTTATTGTTTAAGTTAATGTATGAGGGTTTTGTTATTGAAAAACAAATCTCATTGACTAATAAAAATCTATCATTTAATGTGTATCAGTTTTTTCTATATGCATCTGCCGTAAGGCAGAATATAATACCCATGGGGTACACAAATATGACCTGATTAAGCTCCTAAAGAGTAAAAGAATTAGAAAGCTCTAATTTTAACTCTGCCTGTACCATTTAGTAGATGTGAGACCTCTGAAAATTGTAGTGGCTGTCAAAGTTTCAATTGCCTTACCCAAAGTGGAGACTATACAGAAAACAAATTCCAATCCTAGTGCATAAAAAGTGCTTACAAAATGACTGTTGTTAATGGCTATGGTTATTAAACCTTTTTTTTTAAGGGTAATTTTTTAAAATCAACAATACTTTCCTCTGGGCCTTTTGCTTATTTAATTACATATTCAACTTATAGAGAGAAAGTGGATATTAAAACTTAGTTTATAATAAAGAGGGCTGGGTGGTGTGGTTCACGCCTGTAATCCTAATTTTGGGAGGCCAAAATGGGAGGATAACTAGGATAACTTCAGAGTCCAGGAGTTCTAGACCAGCCTAGGCAACATAGTGAGACCCCATCTCTAAAAAAAGAAAAAAAAAATTAGTTGGGCATGGTGGCACCTGCTTGTAGTCCGAGCTACTCAGGAGACTGAGGCAGGAGAATCACTTGTGTCCAGAACAAGGTTGTAGTGAGCAAACATGACACCACTGTACTCCAGCCTTGGTGACAGAGCAAGACTCTATTTCTAAAATAATAATAATATAATTAAGGGCTGTAATAACTAGCCATGTAGTGAACAACCTTGGGTCTTGAACTTAAAAATGGGTATTTCTATAGCATGTGAAGTCATCTGCCTACCAATCACTACTTTACAGAAAGAAAAAAAAAATAGCGTAACCGAGAACTTAACCATGCTTAAAATGTATTTAGTGAATTAACTTCAGCACACACTGAAATTCCTCTGACTTTTGTTCACTGTAAGCTGCTTGTGAGAAATTCCATAATAATTTGTAGATTAGTAAATTCTGCAAATCTATTTTTAGCTGTGAATTATTATCTAACAATGAAACATCTCTGGCAATGGAACACGATGAAGTTGGCCTAAATGAAAGCCAGAGACATTGTTTCTAGCCTTAAAACAATGAGACACAGAGAGAGACAAACAGAGAGAAACACAAAGTTTTGTTCATTAGTCTGCCCTCAAATTGCAGGGGCCCATGTAATCGTCAACCACATAAAAGAGTAATCTCCTCACAGCTTTCTTTTCTAAAAAACCTCATTTTTTAACTCAAAGCAAACTGACTTCCTCTCATGCTCAAAGTTCACCAATAGCCTCTCACTTTATCAGTGAAGATGGTCTGATCAGTCCTCACACTCCTCGACTTCCGAAGTATTTACCCATGTTCAGTATTCCCTCTCTTTGGAACACTTGGTAATTTTTCTTTGTAATTCTCTGAGCCTCCTCTGGCTTCTTCACTGGAACTATTTTCTCCACCTACTGCCTAAAAGTTGGCATTGTCCAGTCAACTGTCTCCAACTTGATGTCATTTTGTTCTTCCTTTCTCTGTATACTTTCTTTAGTCCTCATGTCTATCATCAAGACCCTCAGTTGGAAACCATTTTGCAGTCACCCAAGATTGCATGACATGTCTTCTACCCACCCTGCACACTTCTAATCTCCACAGCTTCAATCATATTTTTCTACTACTGGAATTTTGTGGATTCAATTCAAATTACTACCTTTTCTACTCAGTGACAGTGAAACATGACCTTTTCTTCTACTGAATTTCCATAGGAATTATATTGTTCCCTTATGGCTACTTATTCAGTATGCCATTTATTTGTTTATAAGGCACAGGACTGTGGTGATTTTTAAGTCATGATGCTCATCTTTCAGGTGAAAAAATGAAAGTAAATCTGGAGAGGAGAAGATACTTGCTATAGTTGGTAAGTGGCAGGCCAGAATCTAGGCATTGGCCCTTTAACTAGACTGTTATTAGCCTTTTTAGGGTAAAGACTACATCTTACTCCTCTTGAGGCACTAGTACAGGGTTTGTAAAACAGTGTTTATAAATATTGCTGTTCAAATGATATCATGAGTGATAGACACATCAGTGGGGGGGCATCATAAGAGTAAAGTAAATTCTGTTCAAGAGACAAGAGTCGGCTTCATATTTACATGTCTAGAAAAAAGAGTTGGCTAAACAAAGGTTAAACTTGAGAAAAAAATGAAATAAAAGAAAGTGAAAAGTCTTTGAGGAGATAAGCTGGAAAGGAATAAGAGTTCAAGGAAGAGACTGACTTTGAAAATGAAAAATCTAGTCGGGCTCGGTGGCTCAGCCTGTAATCCTGCATCTTGGAAGGCTGAGATGAGTGAATTGCCTGAGCCTGCAGGTTCGAGACCTGCCTGGGCAACTTGGCCAGACCTCATCTCTACAACAAATCAAAAAATTAGCCGGGTGTGGTAGCGCGCTCCTGTAGTTCCAGCTACATGGAAGGCTGAGGAGGAAGGATCGCTGGAGCCCAGCAGGTCGAGGCTGCTGTGGCCGAGAGTGGCCACTGCACTCTAGTCTGGGTGACAGAGTGAGACTCCAACTCAAAAAAAAAGAAAAAAAAAGAAAATGAAAAATCTTTGATTCTGACCACTGACGAGGAGAATATTAAATCTAGCCTCAGAGCCATGTTGAGTACCTATGATTCTCTCTCTTTAAAAATAAATAAGAGTCTAATACAAGCACAAGGCAAAAATCCAGCACTTGTAGCTACAGCACTTGGGCACCCACTAGGAGCCAGCTGCTCAGTGCTGGCACTGTGGAAAAAGTCTCAGGTAGCAGCTACAGAAGTTCCTGTTTCAGTTTCCCAGGGAAGCTTACTCTGAAAGAGGGAGAAAAAAGGAAGCCTCTTTCAGACTCCTGTAATCCTGGTTATAGTGGTATTCCCAGATTGTTAATTTGGAATTTTGGTTAATTTCTAATTTAAATGCAACCAGGATTGTTATAGGGTGGCTGCTTTTATCATGTGCACAGGAAACTTACAGCTTTATCATTGATTGAAATGTTGTTGTAAAAAAAGCCAATAGGATTCAAAATCAGTTTGTATTGTTACATGAACCTTTAACATTACATTTATTAATGAAAGAAAAAAGCTATAATAAAATATAAAATATAATTTCAAAAATAAATAACTAAAAATACTTAAGAACCACATGTGTCACACCCACCCACAACAGAAACACAGTCTAGCATTGGATCATTCCTGAATTTACAGTTTCATGGGTGGGAAATATTTTCACAACCCCAGCATCCATCCATTATCAAAAAGAAACTAGAAAAACACAGAGGTTCTATATCTGTGGTCTTAGAAAAGAAAGCTGAAAGAGAGGAGTTGTTCAATCAAATAAGTACTTGGAATAAACAGGAAAGAAATTAAGAGTAGGTGACAAGTGTAAGACTGGCATGATCTGATTTAGAAAGTCATAAAGAAAGAAAAAAACAGAATAATTCAGGATAAGACTCAAAATATAACAAATGAAGTACAATTTCATGTTGCATGCAATGCGTCATGGTTTGAAATTTTCTTTTTCTCAATGTATTGTTAATTACCTGCAATACACGTAAAGCATCCCCCGCCTGAATACGCAAAATATCCTTGAAAGACGGCTTCTATAAACTGGGAGGCGTCTGGAAATTCACCATCAAATGCATTCTGAAACCGTTCTAGATTCTCCTTTCTCCCTCTCACCAGCAATACCACTCCAGTTAGGGAAATGAGGCTTAGTATGGATATTTTCAGCACTGTGCTAGCTGCCTGAAGCCAAGTCACCTCTCTTACACCGCGAGAATTCAGAATTCCTACAATCCACACCATGGCCAGCGCCAGACATTTCTTTGGCAGCTTTGGGGCAGAGCAGCTGTGATAAAAAGGTTGGATGCTGTACTCAGCGAGGAGCAGGGCTTGGCTAGCAACTAGTCCGGGTCCCAGAAACAAGGTTGTCCAGAGATACAGGAAAGCGATCGAGGATCCAAAGCATCTCTTGAGAAAATAGTACTGAGCTCCACTGCATGGAAAGTTTATATCTATCTCTGCAGAGCAGAGAATTACCATCAAGGACAGTACAGCACATCCAGCCCAAATACACAGAGAGAGCCCCACATTCATGCAAGGGTATGCCAACACCCCTTTGGGGGACACAAAAATTCCTGCACCAATTATATTAACAATTAAAAAACATGTGCCCCAATAATATCCAAAGACTCTCTTGAGTTATATTTTCTTATCTTTATCCATTGTAATAGAGGACTTTGAAAATTCTATATAAGATACAATTTCTGGATTTTCCTGCCTACCTTGCCAAAAAGGACATTCATGAATTCTCTGAAATAAAAGATTGCAGTCCTTTTTGTTCCACTTTCATTTTGAATAGCCTGGCTTTAATAATTAACAAAATATATGTTACACATTCAAGTAAAATAGAATAAGTTTACGTAGAAGGGTGTAGTTTGACTTGTCTTTTAATTATTATCAAGATAATGCATTCAAATGGAAAAAGAGAATTTATAAGAAGACCCGCATTACAGTGAAAAGTGGAGCTTCCTGCTCTGTTTCACTGTTTTCCAAATGTATTACCACTTCTTTTCTCTGGATTCAACTATTTTAATCTATGTTTGATATTAGATCCTTTTGGTGGTTCCCTTCATACTTCTAAATAATACAGAAATACTTTTCTTTCCACATACTTCTACTTTTGAAAGCAAATACTGGCCTCCTCCCATGAATATTAAAGTATCTCATTCACTATCTTTTTCTGGCTCAACTCCCCTTCAAAATTTTTTTCAATTGCTAAGCTTTCAGGAAACAAAGCATTTATCTTTTATGAGGCTTATGGAAGCCAATTAGCAAGGCAAGGGAATGAAATGGCCTGAAACATAAGCCTGTCTTTTAACCAGCCATCCATCATCCTGGTAGCATTTGTCACACACACAAAGTTGTGAATAAGAAGTACAGGAGAGGTTTTGTCCCATGAGAGGGAAGAAGGGTCTCAACAGTCTGTTTAAGACTTGGGCCTCAGTTGCTCCCATATCTGTTGACTTTATAATGCCAAAGCACAGCCCTGAGTTTCTCCAAAGGCTCATAAACCTAGAGGGCACATGAACCTCAGAAATAAAGTATTTCTGGATGGGTGCAGTGGCTAACATCTGTAATCCTAGCCCTTTGGGAGTCTGAGGAAAGAGAATTGCCTGAGCTCAGGAGCTCAAGACCAGCCTGGAGAACATGGCAAGACCTTGTTTTTAGAAAAAATTTAAAAAGTAACCAGGTGTGGTGGTGTTCACCTGTAGTCCTAGTTACTCGGGAGGCAGAGTCAGGAGGATCACTTGAGCCCAAAAGTTGGAGGCTGCAGTGAACTGTAATCATGCCACCACATACCAGACTGTGCATCAGAGTGTGATACTAACTCAACAATAACAAAAAACTAAAGTATTGCTGAATTATTTCCTAAGACTAAATGAAAATAAAGTTGCACCGGGCTCGGTGGCTCAGCCTGTAATCCCACGCCTTTGGAAGGCTGAGGTGAGTGGATTGCCTGAGCCCACAGGTTCGAGACCTGCCTGGGCAGCGAGACCTCATCTCTACAATAAATCAAAAAAAAATCAGCCAGGCGTGGTAGCACATGTCTGTAACTCCGGCTACTTGGAAGGCTGAAGCAGAAGGATCACCAGAACCCAGCAGATCGAGGCTGTGGTGGCCAGGAGCAGTCACTGCACTCCAGTCTGGGTGACCGAGTGAGACTTCAACTCAAAAAAAAAAAAAAGAAAAGAAAGTTGCTTGTTTTTGCTTGGGTTGTGGAAAAAGTGGGTGTTTTCTGGTGGATTGCATCCAAGAAAATTTACTGATAATATTACATAGATCTCAGTAAATATGGCCAAGTCCACGTCCCAAATGAAGCCATGCCTCCCCTTTCATCCCAGAAAGCAAGGAACTGGGAGTGGGGAAGAATACCAAAAAGCTCTCTATAACATAGTGTTGCTGAACCAGGCCCATTTTGCCCACCATGCAATATGCTAATCACTGAGACAGAAGTAATGTAGCAAAGAAAGTGTTTATTCACATGGCAGCTAAATGAGGAGACAGAGGTCTCAAATCTGCATCCCAAAGATGAGCTTTAGGAATATTTATGGGATAGAGGAGCAAGGTGGTCAGAGACATGGGGAAAGACGATTGAGGGTAAGAAAAAGTGAGGTAATCAGTGTTCTGCACAAGTGTAGTCAAGTTTCATAGCTCTTCATAGGATACATGTTCAAAGAGTGGTGGTGTTAGCATGATCTGAAGAGTGGAGATCTATTCCCTCTGCCATAAAAAGATCACCCAGCATTGCTGGTCTAGTTGTACTCAATTCTATGTCAAAGTTTTTCTCCCTTTCTAGAGTAGCTCATATGACCCCTGTCTTGCCATATTTAACAAGTGTTCAGTACAATTTTTCTTTTACAACACACATTGTTTTCTATATGATGGTCCACAGAGTTGCTGTCATTTTCAGGTATCTGCTGCCTTGCCTCATTAACATGAGGCAGTGACTGAGTCTGCAACCGCTTCACCCTCCCTGAGATCTTCCTTCAGTTTCTCCAGCTCCTGGGTTAGGCATGTGTGTTTAGCTTGATGATGATGGACCCCAAATTCTGCAAGATGTCCACATCACTGAGGTCAGAGATAATGAGAACTGACACAGAGTTCAGTTCATTTTCATGGTCTTCAATTCATGCCTGTTAAGTTTTAGTATGTTCTTGCTCTCCCTCACTTTTACCTATATTGTGTTATCTAAATTACCTGAACTTCAAGTTCACAGCATCAGACTTGAAGATAACAGCTCTGAAGATAGACTGCTTAACTACACCTCAAAATTGCTTAAAGTCAAATATCTGCAACAAACTAACCTATTTTAATTTTTATAAATACATAGGTAGATGATAGACATAAAGATAAAGATAGAAACAAAGATCCAGATATAGATATAGGTTTAAATATAGACAGAGGACAGATATAGATAGATATAGATAAGGAGATATAGACATTGATGAAATTCTGCTTCTCTGATAGAACCCTGACTGATAGAAGAAGCAAAAGGCTACGCCATCTTGTGCATTGCTGGACTACTTCTACTGTTGCAGATATTTGACTTTAAGCAATTTTGAGAGTCAGGTAGCTGACTGAAAATAAAGAATGTGAGACAAGAGACAGTTTGGAAGATCAATCTTCATTTTTGTTCAGTTTCAGAACAAACTCAGGGAATATACTTTTTGAAGCAGCGCCTTCTAGTCTGACGAGGATATTCTTGAAGATTCTATGTGGGGCTACCACATCAAAGGCCAAGATAGGTAAGCCATTCAAATTAGGCTCAGCTGCATAGCTCCTTCAATACCCAGAGGAGTATCTTTTGCACAGCATGGAGGTAAGGTTAGCTTTTGAAGAGGAATTCTGGAAAGGTAAATGAAAAATTGCCATGCCCATACATTTTTATAAATGAGTTGCAAAACAGAGGACTGAAAATAACAGAAATGAGACATTTTTAAGGACATTAAGTTTTGCCACTTGAAGAGTTGAAAGTGTTATCTCTTTTTGTTTTAATTTTTTCTATAATTAGTCAACTAAAAGAAGAGCTGTCATGATGACAGATCTGAAAGTGTCATTTTTGTAGAATATGTATTTTTAACTCAATTGAGCAGATATGCAAAAAGAGGCTTATAGGTAATAAGCAACGTGACCGTTTCATCTGCCTTAGAAGCAGAAGAGTCAGAATTTATGTCTAGTCTTATGTTATCCAAATCCCAGGATTTTAACATACAGGTGTACCTCAAAGATACTGCAGTTTCTGTTCCAGACTACTACATAAAGCGAAGTCACAGAAATTTTCTGGTTTCTCAGTGTGTTGAAAAGTTATGTTTGGGTAACCCCTTCGGGTCCCCTCCCACTGTGGGAGCATTTCTGACCTCTCAAATCCTGCCCTAAAAAAAGAAAAGAAAAATTATGTTTATACCATATACAGTGTATGAAGTATGCGATACTATTATGTCTAAAAATCTATTTACATGTTATAATTTAAAATATTTTATGATGAAAAAATTCTAATAAGTCTTCAGCAAATCATAATTGTTTTACTGGTAGATGGTCTTGCCTTGATGTTGATGGCGGCTGACTGATCATGTTGGTAGTTGCTGAAGGTTGGCATAGCTGTGGCAACTTCTTTTAAAAAATGAAGTTTGCAGCATTGATTGACTCTTCCTTTCATAAAAGATTTCTCTGTTGCATAAGATTCTGTTAGATAGCATTTTGCCCACAATAGAACATCTTTCAAAATTGGAGCCTATCCTTTCAAATAAGCCATTGCTTTACCAACGAACTTTATGTAACATTCTAAATCCTTTGTTGTCATTTCAACAATGTTCACAGTATCTTTATCAAGTGAAGTTTCCATCTCAAGAAACTGTTTATGCTCACCCATAAGAAGCAACTCCTGATCCATAAAAGTGTTATCATGAGCTTGCAGCAATTCAGTCACATTTTCAGGCTCTATTTAAAGGTCTCTTGCTATTTCCAACATATCTGCATTAATATTCTCCATGGCAGACTTGAACTCTTCAAAGTCATCCATGAGGACTGGAAGCAACTTCTTCCAAATCCCTGTTAATGTGGATATTCTGACCTCCTACCATGAATCACAAATTTTGTTATCTTTTTTTTTTTTTTTTTTGAGTTGGAGTCTCACTCTGTTGCTCAGACTGGAGTGCAGTGGCCGCTCCCGGCCACCGCAGCCTTGATCTGTTGGGCTCCGGCGATCCTGCCGCCTCTGCCTTCCAAGTAGCTGGAACTACAGGCATGCGCTACCACGCCCGGCTAATTTTTGATTTATTGTAGAGATGAGGTCTCGCCAAGTTGCCCAGGCGGGTCTCAAACCCGCGGGCTCAGGCAATCCACTCACCTCAGCCTCCCAAGGCGCGGGATTACAGGCTGAGCCACCGAGCCTGGCCACAAATTTTCTTAATGACATCAGGAATGATAAGACCTTTTCAGAAAGTTTTCAATTCACTTTGCCCAGATTCATTAAAAGAATCACCATCTAAGGCAAATATAGCCTTAAAAATATATTTCTTAAATTAGAAGACTTGAAAGCCAAAATTATTCCTTGATTCACAGGCTGCAAAATGAATAATTTGTTAGTATATGTGAAGATTAATCTCCTTGTACAACTTCACTAAAGCTCTTGGGTGACCAAGTGTATTGTCAGTGAGAAGTAA